TCATTTTCTTTTATCTTTTTTTTGTTTTTGTTCTTCTCTTTTTTTCCCCAACTGCATTCTCCCTCCCACTTACCTGTAAACCTATCTTTCCTCCCTCCTTGTTCTTTCCTGTTTCTCTTTTCCAAGTTCTGCTGTGTCTGTCTTCATATTTCCCCTTTTCCCTCTCTCTCTCTTCTCTCTCTCTCTCTCTCTCTTCTCTTCTCTCTCTCTCTCTCTCTTTCTCTCTCAGTTTTTTGGAAATACTCCCCACTGCCCGTGTCTTTGATCTACCTTTGGGGGGTATCCTTGACTCACCATTATGCGTACCCTTGACTTCCATTTGCTACCCTTGATTCCCATTGTGCGTTTCCTTGACTTCCAATTGTGCTATTCCTTGATGACCAATTTAGCGCCCCTAACAGCGGACGGCCGTAGAGACCACCCAGGTGGCCCGTGGACCCTGCATCTCCAACACTGATGGGCTCACCCCCCCGTACCCCCGTGAGCTGCAACACAACCAAATCAAATTACTCCAAAGGTTCTAAAAAAAATTTGATAAAACGTAAAAAATAGTTTTTTTTCGAATAGGCAGGGATGTACTAGATAAAAAAACTGTTCGTTGTTGTTGTCATGAGTCCTATGGATTGTTTTAAATTCTTGGAGAGATTTTTGAGTTTTGGAGAAATTAAGTGCTAAATCTGGATTCATGACATTCTTCATTTAATTCCTTGTGCGGGAAAACGAGGGGATTAGTGTTGGATTACTGAGGGCGGGGAGGATTTTTTTTTTTGGATGGGGCAAAATGTTATAGTGTTTCTCATATTCTTCCTGGTGATCTGTGTTTCCACGTGAAGAAAAACCTTAGTAGAGCGAGACAGTGTAGTGAGAGACATGATGTAACAAGTACATACACAGGGATGTGTGAAATTTTGCGAAAAATTTGATACAAAATGAAAAACTGGGTTTTTCTGTTTGCGGTCAACAACACACACCACACAACACACACCCACCACCAACACACCAATATTATTTTTATATATATATATTTTTATATATAAATATTAAATTTAATCTTTATATATATTTTTTATATAAAAAATTTTATTTATATTAATTATATATATATATTATATATATATATATATATATATATATATATAAAAGGGAAAGGTGTAGGTTGGTAACGCAACCCCCCGGGGAAGTACTACCGTCTGCCAGAGACTGTGAAAGAAAACCTGTAACTGTTTTGCATTGAGGGTAGGTTTGCTGGTTTCTTTTTCTGTCTCATAAACAGTGATAACAGGGATATCTTGCTACTCCTACTTACACTTTGGTCACACTTATTTACGAACGACATGCATATATTATATATATTTTTTTATATATATAATTATATTAATATATATTATATTATATATATATTTTTAATATAATATTTTTTTATATATATATATATATATAATATATACTACATCTAGGTTTTTTCCTTTTTCTAAATAGCTCTTTTTTTCTTTATTTTTTTCTATTGTCCATGGGGAAGTGGAAAAGAATCTTTCCCCCGTAACCCTTTGCGTTTCGTATGAGGCGACAAAAAATCCCGGGGGCAATGGGCTAGTAACCCCTTCTCCGTAGACATTTAAAAAAAAGAGAAAAAACTTTAAAAAAGGGGTGCTTGAATGTGCGTGGATGTAGTGCAGATGAAAAAAAACAGATGTTTGCTGGTTATGAATAAAAAGAAGTTGGTGTCCTGGCCCAAAGCGAAAAAAAGCTCGAGGGGGTAGGGGAGTTTCGGGGGGGGGAAAAAGGGAAATTTAAATCTGGAGTTTTGAGAGAGTTAGAGAAAAGGGAAAGGGGTGCAGTAATATTGAAGGATCGTTATAAAAAGGAAAAAAGGAATATGAATGGTAAATTCAAGAATTATGTGGATTAAAGTAAAGGTTGGATGCAAAAAAGGGGGTCTTAAAAAGCGTGTATGCACGGGAGAAGAGGGGAATGAAGAGGAGAGAAGAGATTTTGGGGAGATTTTAAAAAGTGAATATATAGGGCCTTTAAACCAAGGGAGGAGAAATTGGTGGTGGGGGGTCTAAATCAAAAAGTAGGGAAACTTTTAGGAGGGGTGTGGTAGGTAAGTTCGGGGGGTCCCAGGTGTAAATGATAATGGGACCCCTTTGATTAAACTTTGTATAGAAGAGGTTTAGTTATAGGTAACAAATTTTTAAGAAAAGGAGGATAAATAAGTTACAAGATATGATGTGGGCGAAAGACTTTGTTTGTTGGATTATGTTTTGGTAGATAAAGATGTTGAGTGACTTCGGTGTAATGTTTAGAGGGGCCCCAAAATATATCAGATCCCTTTTTGTTTTTGCTACACTGAGAGTAAAAGGTAGATGGGATCAAAGGGGAAAAGAAGCACAGGGAAGAGAGGGTGAAGGTTTATAAACTAAAAGAGGGGGCGTTAGGGTAAAAATATAAAAGCTATTGGAGGATAGAGGGCTAATGAGAGCTAGGCAATGGGGTCGAAGGGGGTGGGGGGGGTTTTAAAAAGTAGTGTTAGAGTGTTCAGCAGAAGTTTGTGGCTCAGGAAAGTGGGTGGGGGGGAAGAGGAG